GAATCCGTGCAGCGCGACGGCGCATCGCTGGGCAGCGCTGCTCGCGCGCCTGGGCCAAGAACTGTTAGACGCTGCCCTTGATTCTGTTTTCTGCTTGTACTGTTGAACGCACTGTTGTCACACAGGCTAGTTAATATATGTTGTGAAGTTAGAATAAACTACTTTCCAGGCAGGCAGTATCGATAGTGTCCAGCACAGTGTTCACAGTTCCTTATTGTGTGTTTTCTCTCTTGGTTACCTCCAGCTCCTATTTCTGTACCCTTACCGGGCGGAAGTGCATCCTTGAACAGGCACTACCATCGAGCAAAGGAATCGCGCGCGGGACGGTGAATAGTTGTGTCATCGTCTTATATAGATTGGAAACTTAGGGGTACTTAGAAATAATTCTTATAACAGCTAAAATTCTAATTTTTGCTAGGGTTCTAAGTTCAGTATAGACTATGTAGGAGCTTCCGAAAATAGGGGCACCTTATTTTGGGTCTTTATAAGAAGGATCCTACTATCTAGGGTACTATATTAGGGTCCCCTGTGAAAATGATGGACCCTTCTCAAATATAAGAACCTGTAAACTTGCAGACCGCCCCAAACCTAAACCCTTATGTCCTAATCCTTGGTAGAACCCCCAAAAAGGGGGCTCCTTTAAAGGGATCGAGAAGGGTTCCTTTTAAGGGGTTGCTATAAGGGCTCTATAGGATTTAGTGTTTAGGGGTTTGGGGGTTTCCGAAAATTAGGGGTACCTTATTTTGGGGTCCTTATAATAAGGATCCTACTATTTAGGGTACTATATTAGGGTCCCCTATTTTCGGAAACTCCCATGTACCTATAGTCTCCATTGTAGTTCCTTTTTTGGTTAACCATAAACCAAATTGTAGGATCCTAACCATAAAACTGGTGAACCACAAAAAGAAACAGCCTCTAAAATACCATAACCACCGTCTATTCAGGGTGCTCCTGGAGGTCTTGGTAAAGACAGTATAAAAACTTTAGGGTTTAGGGACACAAAAACCCTAAGACCTGCTTTGCAAGGCCGGTATGCACTTCGTTGGGCGGTGGTTTGGAGGAAGCTCCATGCGAGCTATTGTGCCCTCGCGGCAGGAAGGCGGCTTAGTAACCCAAAGGGCCCAAGTAGGAATCCCTAAGCCCTCAACCCGAATAAACCCTGAAGTATAATATGGCAGGTACTATGTATATGGATATTTGGGCCCCAGAAATATATACTATACTATGACTTGGACCCTTCGGGTAGTCAGAGGAAGCGGCTTCTTTCAGAATTTTAGAGGTGTAGGTTTTGGGATTGAAGGACGATGAATTCGAAATGGTTTAGCATCTTCCTCGACAAGGGCTTTGGGGTTTATCTTTGCGTAAAATTCCTATGCAGGGCCCAGCATTGATATTTTGGCGAAACAAGCGCACTTCAATTTCGGGTCTCGTGGGGATCTTACGTTGGGGCATGTGGCCGAAACGCAGGCCGATATATTGCTAGCACTCTGCCGGCATTTCTGTGTACTTTTACAGGGCACATGAGGCAGAAGTTCAGAATCGGCGACCGCGACCTCTGCAGCAGTTGACACCTTCACGCTTGAAGCGCTGCCGACAGATGCAACAGTCGCAGTGCTGGTCAAGAAGACGGCATCAAGAACGAAAATGTTCTCAGCATGATGCCCAGGACACTCACAGGTTCGAACCCTGTCTTCCCACAGTGGCTTCTGAAACCTTATACAAGCCTAAATCTGATGTCAGGCTTCCTCGAAACATCGGTATTTTTTGCCTGGAGTGTTGAGGCCCGAAACTCGGAAACACATGAAAGATGACCGTAAGGTAATGTAGGAACCTGATGAACAAACCCTGGCCCTGTTAAACCCCCCCAAAATAGTAGGATTCATAGAAGGAGCCCTAGTAAAGGCACAAGGTTTCTTGATCAGGTTCCTACATGATCTTCCTATTAACGCGGAGCCCCTGCCCTTCCCACTATTTGCTTAAGAACCCCCAAAAAATAAAAATATATTCCTTATGGTGGTAATATAAGGATTATTGTTTTTATTGTTTGGGTGTTTCTTAAGCAAATAGTAGCTTCCCAATCGAAGAAAGGAACACCTTAAGCTTATGAGCCCCTTGCCATTCCCGACCCTACGCAACACTAACCTTCCGCCTGACCCAAACCCCAAGCCGTAACCTAAACCCCAAACCCTGACCTGTAGCTTTAACCTTACTTAAAATAAGTTAAACCCTATAGAGCTTAAACATGCCTAAACCCCTCTAATTAGCCACAAAATCCGGTGCAGAACCTGTACCACCCCCGAACTCGACAGACTCCTCGTAAAAAGAAGCCGTAAGAACATTAAGACACGCTACACAGCCCTATAAAAGCCAGCAGAAGCACCCTAAACCCTAGACCCTGAACCTTAAACCCTAAACCTTAAACACTAAACCCTTAGACCCCCAAACCTTAAACCCTAAACGCTTGACCCTAAACCCTTATAAAATTTTCAACCTTCTAAACCTAACCCCTCCCGCACCCAGGAGTGATGGCTCGGATGTAGGAGTTTGGTTTGGGCACCTCTTCGGCCGTGCGCAGCGGCACAGCTCTCGCTTTAGCAATGTCTCCCGCACTGAAAGATGAATGTACATACACACCAGAAGTATCAGTTATTAGATGTATGTGTTTATATACATATATGTATATTATATGCGTTGTATACTTATGTGTGTATAAATATGTGTATGTATAGTATACATACATATACACTCTGTAACAGGTGCGTACATACATAGTTTAGGGCAAGACCCCTTGCCATAAACCCTTAACAAGAATGTGCGGCAAGATGCCCATACCTTTTTGCTGAACTCTGACAAAGTGGTAACTTGTTTTCATTAAGCCCGCAGCGCCAGAACGCGCACAGCAGCCCCAACAGTTACGCCACGCTTTCATTACATCCACATCCCCTAAGGCTCCATGTACCCATATAACTTACCCATATAGTATATACTTAGGCTTTAAAGTACCCATATAGGGACCCCTTTGAGGCTTAAGTATCTACTATAAAGGTACATGGAGCATTTGGGATCAGTAAGGATGGTTTTGTGCTTCGGTTCGGTTTGCTCTTTCTGGCTTGCGTCCAGGGTTTACAGTATACAGTAAACCCCATACAGTTGGAAACCGGATTAAGGCCAAATAGTGCCGGGATTCCCTAAACATTACTCTTAAGGATTGAGGCTATGGGGTTTCCAACTTTTGGGCTTCTACTGTATTGCGAAACTGCAAGCGTCGAAAGTACAGGTTTAGGTTTACCTATAGTCTCCATTGCAGCTCATTGTGTTGTGGGTTTAACCAAGTTCATATTTTTGGATTCAGTAATTTTACTTCAGAAAGGAATTTCAATGGAGACTCTAGATAGGGTTTATGAAGGCCTCCCTAAACCCTAAACCCGAAAGGGTTTCTTGGGTTAATGCCTCCGTAAGTCTGGCATTGAGCTCGGGGTGGGCGCGTGAGACTGTGCCGCCTGTCATTGTGCGTAATGTAGGGGCCTAAATGTAGTTGCCCAGATCATTCCTTGGGGCTCCTTATATTCAAGCTGCAAAAAGAACCCAAGGATATGCCCCCAAAACCCTATTCAAAGCATTGAGGCTCCTATATCCCCCAAAACCCCCCGGAGAGTCCAATACCGCTATATGGGTAGTTGTCAAAATCAGGGTCCCGTTTTGGATACCTTAAGTACTAGGTGCCGTATTATATTAGGGACCCAAAAAGGGACCATAATTTTGACAACCACCCATATAATTTACGCCATATTACTTAAGTCAGGGGTATTGGACTCTCTGGGCCTATCCGAAGCTAGGATGCCCAGTAGTACCCTTATTCCCTTTTTGTAGTCCTAGGTTCCTTATAAAGTTACCCAATACCAAAAAGAGAGGCCTTTTTATTCTTAGGTTACTGGGTATCCTAGGAAGTATTAAGGCTCGTAGAGTCGGTCGCTGCTGCGCTGAAGCGTCAGCCGAAACTCACTGGCTCTGGGGATTGTTTGAGGCTGATGACACTGGGCCCGGGGTCGAAGTAATGCTCTTCATTGGATCTTGTTGGTGGTCTACAGTAAAAAATGAGTGGAAATCCTTTGCTAGTTCTTATTGCCCCTTACACCACAGAACAACATGAACCCCTAACCTTGAACCCTCAGTTCTAAACCCTAAGCCCTTCAAGAAGCCGCTCCAGTCCCACTTGAGCTATCCATCTTCAACGCTTTGGCTTGAAATGCCAGGACCTTCCTGTCCAGCCCTTGACTCCCAAATCGATTGTTGATCGTGTGTTTAGAGAAGGTTTGTGAGGATTCTGCATCTGTTGTTTAGGGTTTGAGAAGTTTCTGCAAAGCTTCTAGACTTAGAAGAGTGCAGTGTTTAGTTAGGATCACAAGCTTGGGAAGCTCAAAGAGTCTCCAGTCCCTGAGAGACAGAGCGACTCTTATCCTGAATTGCCGTGCAAAAGGGCTTATGCTAGTTTGGAACCGGGTGCAGGAGTTGCGGTTGGGCAAGTTCGGCAGAACAGTCCCCATGTACATAGGACGAGTGCTTTGGCTCAAACAGCGCGGTGAAACAAAACAGTCCGGCTGCTTGAAGCAGGTTTGTTGCCCTAAACCCTAAACCGAACATCCTGGTTTCTAATTGCAGAGTTTCAGAGCTGGAAGAGGATGACGCCATAACCCTGAAACCTGAAACGCTAAGCAGAGGCTTCTTGGGATGAAGGTCAGGGGTTCGATCGAATGCAACCCCTAACACTGAGACCATAATCCCTAAACCGGCTTAAGCTTCGGGTTACGCTAAACCCAAAGGGGAAAAGGAGGGACCCTTAATGGGGACCCCTACCCTATAATGGGCTTTCTAATGGGCATATAATGGCTATATCAAGGGTATATACCTAGGGGTCCTTATTGAGGGTCCCTCCTTTTACCCTTGGACAAACCCTAAAACATCCCAAGCCCTAGCTAAGCTGTGCCCGGGGTTCGATTAAGGTGTCGGAAAGCTGCTTCAGCACTACGACCTGCTCTCCGTGGCCGGCCTTACTATCGTTTCCGCCAGAATTAGGGGCTCATGTTTAGTATTGGGGCCCAAATAATTAGCGGGGGTTCCTCATTATAGTTATAGTAAGCTGGGCCCCAAAACCCTATTCTAAGTATAAGGCCCCTAAATGAGGGTTCATGTTTAGGGTGTAGTGTGTTGGGTTCAGGATCAGGGCCTAGGGTTCAGGGTTTGTGGGTTTTATGGTCTAGGGTTGAGGGCTTCGAATGTGGCTTGGGTTATGTTATGGTATAGTTATGTGGGGAATACAAGGGGCTATTGGGAGACGCAGTTCAATGGTAGAGCTGTATAGGCAACACAACGTGTATACGACCAGGAAAGTGCCAACTCAGAGCAAGAAGAATAGAATACAGAGCGACAGCCTAGGCAACCCAGGCCCCACAACAAACGATTACAGTAGAAGCCAGAAAGTTGGAATATCATTATCGTAACCCCTTTAAGATAAATTATAGGGGATCCTACCATTAATCCATATTCCAACTTTCTGGAGTTCCCTTTAATGATGTGCACCGTCCTGCACCCATATCTGTCCACCCCAAGGCCGAAGCCACTGGGCCTCAAACCTCGGAACGATCACATGAAACTGGAAAACTGCACCAGAGCAACACGTGTCCCACGCTAGGTACCTTCAGCTATTGTTTTGACAGAGTCTCTTGAATCTACGATGTAGTACCACAAAGCCCTATCATTAGTCAGCGACACCATGTGTAGCCTATGTGGCAAGGCATAGGCATACCCTGGGAGCCTGTCAGGACTAGTTTTGTTGATTGCGCCGGAAGTCTTGACGTGATTTGTGTGACTGGCAGGACCCCGTTCATAGCCCAAACCGCCATACAACCCCGTCTTAAAGGAACCCCTTGTCGGCCTTAAGGTGAAGGCTTGCGACGCAAAGACGGGTGCCTGCCTCTTCACCTTTTGCCTTCAGCGACCTGCCTTGAGGAGGAAATGTTCCCCAAAAGGCTTCAGTCACCTTATCGGGCTTCAAAGTATTCATAGTACTCGCTATATATATATATATATATATATATATATATATGTATATACATATATATATATATATATAGAGAGAGAGAGAGGTACATAGGGCCCAAAGTTTATACTATTTGGGTACTTGAAGCCTTAGGGTAATTAAAGGTCCCCGCACTTCAAGGGTCCTTACGGCGGTGACAATATTGTAGAAGCCATCAAGTTTAGGGTTTAGGGTTGGGACGTTTAATTTTACTCCTCATACCCTTAATGTGAAGACAAAGGGATCCTGGCACTAAGCATCCTAAACCCATGTTCCAACTTCCAGGGCCGTCGCTGTAAATGCAGATCCTCCTGGGTTGAGTTTTACCTTCAGTCTCCATTGTAGTTCCTTTTTTTGGTTTACCAGTTTTATGGTTAGGATCCTATAAAACAGATTTTGGTGAACCAAAAAAGGAACTACAATGGAGACTGTAGGTAACGTCTTCTGATGTTTGTGAGGCTTTTGTCTGTTGGTCGATGAGCTACCCTGCATGTCCATGTACCCCTATAGTACCCTATAGTATGTGTACATATATATATAGAGAGAGAGAGAGGTACTTGAGGGCCAACGTATATACTATAGTTCTGCGACATGTACCTCATGGCAGTTTGTTCAGCATGTCGGTTTCCTTGAATTCAGCTTGAGGGTATCCCATATTCTGTTGTGATCCCGGGACATGTGGTTAGACACATCGTCTTGGACTTCGATGTGCGCTTGGTGTGCCCGCTATCCTCTCGCAGTCGTGGATGTTTGTCTTCTTTTTTGATGCAAACCCGCCGCGAGATGGAGTCTTCGCGTGCTCAGCAGGGGCCCTACACGTTATAGCTTTCCGTGGTCGGGTATACACTGGAATGTACAGATAAAGTAGAGCGTAGGATAAGTTGTGGGAACCAACTCCGAGAGAGTATTCAGATATTGCGAATGACTCAGCTCTCATACCAGTATGTATGTTTGCCAATGCGAGGCTACGACATACGCCTAAACCTCTCTACCCCTAAACCCTGAAACCCTTAAGCCCTCAAGCCTAAAGCCCTTGAGGCCACCCTAGGCCCCAAGCGAAGCAGATTTTCCGGACCCCAAGATCACATGTCTAGGGTTTTTGGGGGTTTGGGGGTTTAGAGGTTAGGGTTTAGGGGTTTGGGGTTTAGGGTGCAGGGCCATGTACCGGGAAAACGAAATAGAGCCTCACGCTATAAGTCATTATAGGCCCTGAGCCCTGATAAAACCACAAACAGGCCGGGATGTATGCTGGTATCTTCAAGGCCATTGCAAACCTCACTCCTCTGAAAGGGCCCCGGTTAGGGACCGTACGCAAAACCTACCCGCAGCCACGAGACCATGGTAGCTCTCCCTAATGATGCTCTGTCAGGAATGGTCTGATCCACTTATGTTGGCGGCTCAGGTCACCTTCAGAGACGGTTTGAGGTTTTGGGTTCTGTCGCTCGTGGCAGTTTAATATTAAACTTTGGACACCTGCAGACCAGCAACACTCACAAAATCCCCAAAGCCCCAACAAAAAGCAGCCCGGAACACATTGTTCCTCTCGAAGCTTAACCCAAAAGCAGGGCTTTACTATAGGGGCCCTTTCAAATACTTACCTATGGCATTCTGGTGGTTTCTTATTATGGTTATAGTATAATGGGCCCCAAAACCCTCTTCTAATTATTGAGGCCCCTATAGTAAGGAGTTACCCCAAAGTTGGAACATATGCATGGCCATACCAGGGATCCGAGAAGAGAAATTGGAGCATTTGGGTTTAGGGTTCAGGGGTACATTCCCCACCTGATGTTGCACTGCACTGCTTTTTGCTGTTGTTTTTGTTGGACTGTGACTTTTTGAGCTCACTCTTGGTTCTTCCTGAACGGGTCTATGTAGTGCTAACCCTTCGGAAGAGTATCCATTGGCCAGTCGCTCTCCCCAAAAGAAGCAAACCTAAACCCTGAATCATATCACACTTTACGCGACTCAGGTTTTCATCTCATGGAGGGAAAGCTTGCGTGGCCCGGGCCTCAGAATCCCGATTCTTTTGCTTTGGGGTTAGTTTGGATTTGGTGAGTACCTTCTTGAGTAATTACCTTTACTCTGTCATAGTTGGGAAGCAGTTTACTTGTTTACTGTAATGGGTACTTAAACCCAGCAAGGAATAGAAATGCAGCTTGCGAACATTATCTCAACCATGGACTAGTAACTTTAGGTTTCAGCGGCTTTGGCTCTGGGATATTCGGGGCCTTTTGGCGATTTCTACAGGCGCCTGTTTAAAAAAGAGCAGAATATGTCAATCTGTCTCGCTCCAAGCACTGAGTGTTTATGCCTCTCCGTTAAAGTTTCATACTTCATGGGTTTTTTATTCAAAGGGGAAAAGGAGGGACCCTTAATGGGGGCCCCTACCCTATAATGGGGCTATATAATGGGAGCATAGTAGCTATATTAAGGGTACATACCTAGGGGTCCTTACTAAGGGTCCCTCCTTTTCCCCTTTGATTCATGGGCTTCATGAGTTTCGGATGCTGGGTTCCAGCGTAGGGAACCCTAAACCCTAAATACCCTCAATCGTTCTGTCGGAAGTGAACGCCCCGTGCAAGAACTTCGAGCCGGCAGTCAAAGAACAAACTCGGACAAGATAACGGTTTAGGGTTTTTTTGGGTTTAGGGTTTAGGGTTTAGGGTTTAGGGTTTAGGGTTATAAAAGGGAGTTTCCGAAAATAAGGGGTTCTTTACATAAGGGTCCTACTATTTAGGGTACTATATGAAGGTCCCCCCATTTTCGGAAACTTCCAAATAAGCAGTGACATGATGAGCTCGAACACGTTGCCGATCAAGGCTCGCAGCATTTACACAGCATTAATACCCCAGGCAGGAAGACAACTCTTCCTGCCCTCCTGTTTGACCCTTACCTCCAATCAAGCGTCATGGGGTTCTGCAAGACCCTGATGACAAGCAAACCCTCAAAACTCCTGTAAAACCCCGGTAGACTTTAGATACTTAGTAAGGGTTCAGGGTTGAGGGTTAGTTGGGTCGGTAACCTTGGCAACCCTGCCTTGATTGAAGAGGTTAGTTTCGGGCTACTCAGCTTCTGAGGATATGGAGCCCTGAAAAACCCCATGCAAGACTCGTGAAGCCTTATGACGGGATCCCTATACCTATAGTCTCCATTGTAGTTCCTTTTTGGTGGGTTACTTTATAGGAACCTAATTGTATATTTGGTTAAACCAAAAAAAGGAACTACAATGGAGACTATAGGTAGGGCCTGAAATCCTAAACCTTTGTACTCTTAGCCCTTAAGCCCTGTGCAGGACCATTGTAGGACCCCTGTGCATTGTAGATCCGCCCTTTGTGAAGCCGATCTACCCAGAGGCCCCATAGTGGTTCCTTTTTGGGATTGCTTCATAAGATTCTAAAAATGGACCCCCAAGAGGAACTACTACGGTTGATGATATGAATCCTGCATTACCTTCAGGACCCTAAACTATGGGATTTATGCCATATGCCTTATTATGGGTAACGTAGGGTTTATATCATCAACCGTATGGGGCCTCAGGGTAAACCGAAGATCACCCCCCAGGCCGAGGGAAGGCAGCCGCAAGGCAGCTCCCCTCGTTATTGGCAGGAGCCTCGTCATAGGGTTTAAGAATTTAGGGTTTAGGATTTAGGATTTAGGGTTAAGGGTTTAGGATTTATGGCAGGAGCCTTGTCATGCTGCCTTTTCTCCTAGTCTCTTAGCGAAGGATAGGTACACCAGCTGGTTAGGCAACCTTACCCCTTTCGGGCGCTGCTGAACTGCTGGCAAGTGCAAAGGTTCACCTGTTGTAGGCTGGCGTACCCAGCCCTTAGGTGAAAACTATATACAGGGTTCGTACGATTTAAGTCGGGCTAGGGGGTGCATCGTCATAGAGTATAATTAGGCTGTTGCGGGCTTCTCCGCGACCCTCTCCTTTGATTTCCGTTGAACGCTGGCTAATTGGCACTATAGCAATTCTATTTCTTACGCTGGGTTTAGGATTCAGAGGCGAGAGTCCAAGCGCCTCTGAAGCCTGCGATTGCGCAGAGGAAGAAGCCTAGGCGCGACACGGCAAAGCAGACCGCGAGGGCAGAGCAGACAAACCCTGCGAGGAGGGCAGGGCAGGAAGTCCCTGACACAGAAGCTTAAAGACTTCCCACCTATAGTATAATATACCCCCAAAAGCCAATAGTATAGTTAGTATAAGATGCCCCCAAAAGCCTATAGTATAATATAGTTATTCGAATAATTCAGCCCCCGATATTAGCCGGTGCCCTGCGTTAAGCTGCGGCGCCGCCACCGCTCGGAGCCCGAAAGAAGCCCCAAACTCAAAACCCTCATAATCTCCATGAGTCCACATGGGAGTTTCCGAAAATTAGGGGTACCTTATTTTGGGGCCCTGATAATAAGGATCCTGTTATTAGGGTACTAAATTAGGGTCCCCTATTTTCGGCAACTCCCTACATCCATAACCCATAACCCCAAGGCTCCAAAGGACACAATTAATTAGGTAGTCGGTTTTAGAATAGTAGTTATGTAGGTTAGGATTTTGGTGAGTATATGATTACTAGGTACTTGGACCCTTGGGGTAAGACATAAGAGACACACTTGCAAAACAGGGCCCCTGTGTGATTCCCACTAAACCCAAAACCCCAAAACCCTGGTCTAAGGATGAGACTGTAAACCCCGAAACTTGAAGCCCCTACACCTGGAATCCCCATGACACCCCCAAACCCCTAAACCTGCAAACCCACAACCCGAAACCCCGAAACCTTAAACCTTAAACCCAAAGCCCCAAACCTAAAATCGTGCTGCCCAGGCGACGAGGGTGTCACGCTCATGCTAGAGATCAACCTGTCGCTGCTGCTCATGGGCCAAAGACCTAGGCAGCACTACTCCAGGAAGTGTTACACTAGTAAGATTAATAGTCGTAAAAAAATAGCAGTAGTCAGAAGAATCGTCTTAGTGTTAACGACAACAAGTTATGACTATTGCTGAAAGTAATTGTAAGGTTCGTGTAAGTGTATTGTAGGGGTTAGTATAATGGAGATTTTGGGGTTTGTGGTTTGGGGGTTAGGATTTAGGCTTGACTTGAAGGTTTAGGGTTTGTTGGCCTGGGAAAGCTCACCCATTTAGGGTTCTTGAAAGCGTGAAAAAGGCAGGTCGTTTTGGGGAGGGGGGGGTTGAGGTAAATTGGTATATGCCTTACAAAGCATAAAGAGAGTTTTCGTTATTCAAGGTAAACTCATATTCCATTAACGCAGATGCCTACCTAGGCCCTTTGGGTGTTACAGAATTCACGGCGCTCTTTTGGTTAAGGGGTGATGGTTACGAGATGGCTCAAGAAGGGTGTTCCAATTCCGTGTCGACAAGACACCTTGGGAGTGACGGTCCATCCAGCCAGCACGACCTGTGTTGCGGGTTGACCTTTCAAAGCTACCGTAACCTGCTTGTTGAAATAGTCCGGCTATAGGACAGTGGGGCAGAGTAGGTTGCGGTGTTGGAGGTCCTAATGCCCCTCAAGCACAGGTAAAGGTCTGGAGATCCCAGCTGGAAGGAGCATAACCATTGTTTCCACCATTTTTTAGCAAAACCACTTGCCGGGAAATCCTACTGAACGCATCACGGCTTTTTACAACATTTGTTCAACAAGGGGAATGTAAGAGCAAGAGTCTAGAGGTAAGAGTAGGAGTAGGAGCGTGAGCAAAAGCAGGATAAATAGCAAGACAGGAGCCAGAGCAAGAGCCGCAGCACGAGCAAGATCAAGAGCAAGAGCCTGCACAAGAGCAAGAGCAGGAGCAGGAGCAAGAGCATCAGCGGGAGCTGGAGCAAACTCTTCCCCAATGTGGGAGCTAGTACCACCTAACAACAGAAACACTTGTTGAGTTGGAAGGAATGAAGAATTCAGTGGGGCGAAAAACACTTTCGGGGTCCAACTACCTGGCAATCAATCCGCACCCCGTCTGGTTACACTCACACAAACCTCTACACCCTAAATCTTCAAGCCAAGAATCAGCCGTTCTAGGCTGCGCGGCTCATGCCAAGGCTTGAACCTTCCGGCTGTTGCTTTGCCGAAAGTGCAGGTGCAACTTGACGCCGGGGCCTGAGAACGGCTGTTTGAGCACCAGCAGCCGCCTTCGCAGACGACCGCGGCAACTTCCGCTGCCCTCGTCGCGGCCCGTGCTGCCGCTGCTGCTGCAGCTCCGACGATGACGACTAATTGCTAGCTTTGCTACAACTACAGCGACGACGACTACCGTTTCTACGACGACGATGACTACTGCTGCTACTACTACCACCACCACGACGATGACGATGAGCACGACAACTTCCATCCCGGCACCAAGCTACCACTACAGACATAACATCAAGGCATTGAAGAGGTGCTCCAGCAGAGCGGCTCGTCTTATTCTTGATGTCATGTAAACCTATGCCAGCCGTGTCCTTATACAAGTCGGCTTTCGTCACCCTCAACTGTGCATCGTCAACGGCTTTGCCTCTAGCCTTAACTTGTGGTTCAAGTTTGATCAGTAGAGCTGTGTCTGATGCTTGGGGGCTGTGATGTGAGATGGGGATAGGATCGTGATATTAGGGCAGGTCGTCGTGAACTAACAAGCACGGATCACAGCACTTTCGAGTGAAGCTAGGCCTTCTCAGGTCAGCGAGGGCGTCCTTGAGGGCAGCTGCAAACATGCCGGCACCGAGGCTTGAGATAGACATCAACTGGGAATGGGGCAGATGTCCAGTTGAAAGTAGCAAGTAAACCTTGACCATAAGCCTTAAAGTAAGAGCCCTGAATTAGGGACCTCAAAAAGCACAGAAGCATGCGCATTTTAGAGGGATACCCCTACCTTGTTGGGCTTCATCTTAAGGGGGTTTATATGGGATGTCCCTATCCTTTTTTTGCGTATGTGCTTTTTTAAGTCCTACTGAAGCTTGCGGTCCAAATCTTCGGAGAGTGGTGGGTCTTGGGTTAGAAGCTGCCCCCACCCTGTAATAGTGACTATAAGGATTATATTAGGGCCCTATTATATTCCTATTATACCACTATTACAGGGTAGAGGCCCCTTCTAAGTCTTGGGCTTATGTTGCATGAGATGCACCTTCTCTCGCAGAGGGTGCTGATCCTGATCGGTGAAACATGGGGCTTTTGGGGCTCGTTGACAATGCGGAGGTCTGACCGACAAGGATCAATAATGTGGCCCAAATGTTGCGATTTGGGGATTTTGAGGGTTTCGGTTCAGGGTGTCGGCTTAATATAGGGGCTTAGATAATTACGAATACTATTTGGAGGGCCCGAATCGCTTCCAGCAGCGGAAGAATATCGATAGGCCCCAGGACGTGAAACGTCCGCATTTGCAAGGATAGGTCTTCCATCCTCGCCATCTTGGCACCGACGCCTTCGTGCGAAAAGGGCCAAAGCCAGACGTGCCCTGAAGACAGGGTGCCGGCCTACATTAGGCCAAACTGGGGTGTTGCTTAGACACCACTCCACGAGCAGTGAGCTACGTTGCCGTCTTACAGCTCACATGGGCAAGACGGACCAGCGACCATGGCGCGGCAACCCCAAGTCTGGCTCAGAGCGCTGGGACTATTGGCATGGATCCAATCGTTCTCCCAAGGCCAAAGCCAAGGGCAAGGCGAAAGCAGCCCCTTCGCCCGGTGGACCGGGAACCAGCTTCCCGGCTTACGATGCGTGCCCGGCCGAGACAGCTGGTATCGTGACCGTTTCGGAGAGGCGTTTGGCCCCAAAGACCGATGGCAAGATGACTTTGGTACAGGCCGTGCAACAAGCTACCAACTTTGCACGAAAGATCGATGGCAAGGTGGAGCGGATCAAGAAGGATCTTGTGGAGAAGCGAAGCTGTTGGGACAACTACTTGGCCTCTCTGAAGAAGACGTTGCGCAGGGAGAAGCAAAGGCACATGCAAGACTGTCGTCAGTTGGAGTCCGACCTGGCGGAGATGCTGATGCAACAGGAACAGGCCCACAAGCAGATCCAACTAGCAGCTTTCCCCGGTGTTGCGGATACATCGGAGACAGCTGCCTCCGAGGTGGGTGTGGATGCCGATGCAGAATGGAATCAGCTGATGGACTGCACAGAGGAGGAACCAGATTTCTCGACAGTCATGAAGCAGCTGAAAGATGCCATCAGACCCCCACGATGGGAGCCTGCTACGCCGACTACACCGACGCACAAGCCGCACTTTGGAGCGGCTGTCACTCCGGAGGCTGTCACCCCAGAGGGACACCGGGTGCTCAGGGATCCATACTTGGCCTCTCCCAGCACTGCGACCTTGCCGGGGCAACAGGATGCTGCCACTCCCTTGCGTGGAGTGTCTTCGGTGATTCCCAAGAGCAGTCCGCCGACAAGTCACCCAGGACAACGCTCACCCAGCCAGGTCCGGCGCAGAACCGAGGAGGAGCCCCCCAGGCCAGGCATCAAAGAAGCCACCAGGGTGCGGGCCCCTACGGAACCTACCAGGTCGCTTTCCCTTGCAGAGAAGCTGGAAAGGCAGCGACAAAAGGAATTGTCAGAGATGCTTCCGGAAAATGGCATCGAGGACCCGAATGGAGGAGCGGCTTTGGGCACAGTCCCACCGACACCTGCCAGATACTCCTTGCTCGACGACGACTACGACGAGGAACTTATGGAAGGCGAGCCGCTCTTCGACGAAAATGGCGAGCTCTTGTCCATGGAGTGACCGAACAGAAGAGACGGTTGACTGATTGGGGTGGCAGCTTCGTATGTCATCGCCTATGGGAGCCGCAAGGGATGCAGCACTATTGGCTTGGGTTGCCATACTGTGCTTGCTCTCGGCAGTTCTCCCCTGGGCAAGATGCTTCGAAGAGGTGCCGTTTCCATGCAGTTGACTTGTCTCTTCTATGTAATTGTGAGCGTGTACAGGATGTACAGTGTAGGGTAGGCTGCCAGTTCCCGCGACTCCCGCCCTTCACTCACGTCGCTCACCTGTCGTCCTCGGCTGCTCTCTGGAGACATTGGGTTCTTGTCTTCCAGGGAGTATGCCCCCGCCATGCTGCCGAGCCCGCCTGGATTTCCCAATGGGCTGCCACTCCGGCCATTTGTGCTGCCGGTTTTTGCAAACATGTCCCACAGCTGCTAGTTGCAGCTACCTCGCTGCATCAGCCTTGTGCGCCGGATACTGAGGTGCCAGTACCAGAAGCCCGTGGTTTGCCCAGCATTGGATCTACGATCCTCTTGCTGCTACAGGTGCATGTTTGTGGTCTCTTCCGGTGCCTTTGGGGGTTCTTAGGGCTTTCCCTTTGGTGTTTGCTACTAATCCCTCTGAAGGGCCTGCCGCTTGCAAGGAGAATGCATGGGTCATTCATTCCCCCACACGTGCGACGTCTTGCGCTGTGCCTCGACGTTTCTGTACCAAGTGCCCGATGCAAAGCGAAAGCCAAAAGAAAACTGACAGATTCTTCCGCACCCAAGCTGCTTGATGGAAAGTATCGGTGCCATGGGCCGGGCCGTGCTTGGGCTTTACTGCGCTGGCTGTGCCTCTGGTTTTCCTTTTGGAGCCTGCCCACTCGTGTTTGGGCTGCACCAACCGGTGCAGGTCCAGTTGTCCGTGCTGTTGAGGATGTCTTGAATTTCTGGCCCGACTCCTGGCCAGACTGCCATCGGCGGATTGCCCGTGTCACAGATCAGGCTTTCGCCCTTCCAGACAGGGAATGCACAACCGCCGAACTAATAGAAGGGTTCTTAGGCGTAACGGTTTTTGCCCCTCACACGCAGCCCAGACATCTTGCCGTGCCTTGCCAGCCAGAGCAAGGACCGACAGAGTTTCAAGATGTGGTCTTCGATCTTGTCAGAGACAGTGTGCCAGGGTACGCAGGGCTTAAACCAATTTGTCCACAAAGACATCCGGGTTACGCTGCCTTTATCCTTTTCTCGTACGAGGATATTAGACTGGAGCAAGCAGCAGTGATCATCGACCTGTCCAGGGTTGGAGGACACTACTATGCTGCCACAGTACCCTGTTCCTTGCAGGTACAGGCTTTCATCGACAGCATTTTCCCCCAGACATGGATTGATGAACGCGAGCTGTGCCTTTGGATGCCGAACAATACCTCGCCCAGTGTACCCGACCACACAGTGCAGGTCAGACACGGTGATGTGCTTACTGTACTGAGAGAAGGGGTTTCTCCCCTCCGACATTGTGACTTCGGCCATCTGTTTGAAGCAAACACTTGTTGGGGACGACTGCAGCATATGCCCCGAGCATGCTATACCCCAGGTACTCTTGTGTTCTGGCAAGAAGAGACCTTCGTCTTCCATCAGAGGCATTTCTCCGGACAGACGACACGTGATGTGCTGCACACTATCCTTGGCCGGGCAGAAGGTGATCTGCGATTGCACATTTCCGATGTGCTGCCTGACATAGAGTACCAAGGGGACCCTTGCAGTACTGTGGTTTTCGTTGAGGACCTGCAACATGATGTTGCCACAGGTCCACCAGATGCGTTCCCTGTGCTCTGTGATGCGCGCAGGATTGGCCGCGGCATTTGTGTGCTCCCGTCCACCAGTCAGCCAGGACTTGCTGACTCTGTTTTGTCATACTTAGGTCTGGCTGAGGTCGTCCAGGACTTTCATGTCTCCCCGAGTCCTTCTGATCAACATCCCTCGCAATCTGGTGGACTAATGACTGTTACTGTTTTGGAAAACGAGGGCAACACGCAACTTCGTGCTGCCAATCCACCCAGTCTGCTGCATCGTCTGTTTAGGGGCGCGCCTGCTCCTAGGCGAGCTACTACTGGAGTGAGGCACGGGGACCCACACGAAGATGGCGGCACGAGCGAGACAGCGGAACCGCGTCCTCAACCAGGTGACCCGGAGTCAGAAAGCTCAGACTCAGCCGAGGACCCTTTCCTTGCGCGTTTCCTTGTCTTTCGCCTGGAGTACACAGCTGTTGAGCTTGAGGTCCAATTGCAGGCCCCTTCGACTGTCAGGCGTGCGATGCGCACCCTTGCTGATCATCTGGATGAAGCAATTTCGTCTTGCTACCCTCTGTGCGTGCAAGTTTTTCCACAGCTAGCGCACTCATGGGGGGCTGCGTTGGCCTTGCCCGCCTGGGCTGCAGCG